TGGATGGGAATATTAATACCTTACAAACTCGGTTCCTCTTTCTCAGCTGCACAAACTGGTGGCAAGGCTACAAGAAGAAGTACTGGCATTTTCAAAGACCCAAATTTACATGGTGCTGTCGAACAGCCTCCCACTGCAGTCATTTACAGAAAACACAATCTGGACGGCCATAAAACACAAAGCTCACACAAAATCCAAACGCTCTCTCTCTTCCTCGACTCTATCCCTCCAGGTATACCTGACACCCACTGAGCAGTACGTCTCGTTAGCGTAGGCATGACTCATTCCATGACAGAAACTCATTGCTGGGTTGCCAAACCAAGCTGGCTTTTCTCTACAGCAGGCCAAGCGAAGATGCCTGGAGAAAAATGCCCCTTCTAAACTGTAAGATTCAACCAAGCTGCTACCTCCTTAATGAAATCGACGCTTTACTACTTGTTTCTACTGGTTTCTAGAAACTGGTGTGTACTGGATTGTAGTGAGTAAAACATGTGGAAAAAGACACAGAACCAAAGGATGGCATTTTCCACGATCAACATCAATGAATAGAACGTTCACCCAATTCTAGCCTGTGGTCAACAAATCATACATATGCTCAAATCCGTGTGTGTGTGTGTGTGTGTGTGTGTGTGTGTTAGACTGCAGGTTGGTTTGAACCGCTAGGTCAGCGGTTCGAGCTCACCAGATGCTCCCCAAAAACCCAGCATAGGGTCACACCATGGGCTGGAACCATTGTTGTGGTTAACTGCCATTGAGTCGGCTCCTGTGCGGGGTTTCCGAGGAGCGTCTGTGAGCCTGAACTCCCAACACTGCAGTTCAAACCGACTGCAGTCCAGTGAATTCACCCACAGCGCCACACCAGGACACACACACATCCTCTCTCTCTAGATATGTATATAGTTGGAGGGCCTGTGACGTGTCTGCTGATAAAGCCATTGCTCAGAGGCAGATTCCAGACTTCTCACTGCTTTTTCCAACCGTAATAGGAGAAACATATTTTTGTGTATGTTTGTCGTGTAACATAAGCCAGTGAAACCCATAGGGGGGCATCAAATCCAGCTCTGCAAACAGGCCTGGGAAGCAATTCCTCAACACCACAGTGTGCCCTGCCTGCAGTCAGGAGTCCTGGTGTGGCACCGTAGGCAAGTACTAGACTGTAAGGTTGGCGATTCAAACTCACCAGCTGCTCCTCGGAAACCCTGTATAGGGTGGCTATGAGTCGGAACCAACAACAATATATATATTGTTTTAAAGAGCTCACCTTTTACTTTTTCTTCAAAATTAGAACAGTGCCAACAGTTCATCAGTATGACATAATCCAAGTGTATTTTCCACTTCACGCCTCCTCCAAGACAGAAAGCCACTAAGAAGTGTTTCACCGACAGGAGTGGTAGTTCCGAAGCACCCCACAACACCTACAGCAACAGCAAGGCTGACAGGACAACTTCGCCTTCACACCCACGAACTGGAGCCAGCCCCCCAAACCCGGTTCCATGCATCCTGACTGCTAGCACCCGTTTACGGGGGCAGAACTCTGTGGGAGGACACACTTGTCCTATCACATGACGGCGCACTGCAGCCTGAACGCAGGCACACTGGTGTTGACAAACGGTTTCCCAGGCCTGTCTGCGGACCTGGTTCCGATGCTGCCCTACGGGTTTCACTGGCTTGTGTCACCCAACATTCGTTTCCCCTATGGCGGTTGGAAAAGGCAGCGAGAGTCTGGAATCTGCCTCTAAGCAAAGGATCAATCAGCAGACGTGTCAGAGCCTCTTCAACGAGACACTGGCGCTGATTACAAGCCAAGAGCCCTGAATTCCTAGAGGGTACCCACCTACTACACATGAGGACATCCAACTCCCAAGGCCTCTGCCCCAAACTCACAGTCACGGGCTTCTCAAAACCTCCCCTCTGGCCTTCAGCACGATGGGCACCGGAGGGATGAATAGGAAAAACTCAATCTCAAACGAAACTATTTATTCAAGAATTCAATCTTGATTACTTTAGCTATTCTTCACGGGTACTTGATTCACATGGCATCAGTATCTTTCCAGTGTCTGTGTCTGAACAGCAAACATGTTCCAGATGTTTTTCCACTTAGAAAGGGAGAAGAATAGGGCTCCAATTATTGTTTTTCTTTTAATCAGAATTCTGTAAACCCACACTAACTACACTTAATTTAATTGTAGCAGAACAAAGAATTGTATTCGTATGGAAATAAAAGGGAACACTTGAGGAAAACGTTGACTAGCCTTCTAAGTGCTGAAACTATCATGTATTTCTAAAGCAATCTCATTTGTCATGAAGTGTGACAAGGAATAGCAACCCCTAGTCTTGTCAGAGCAGACCCACGTGTATAAACAGAAAATATCTGGTCAGTCATAGTATACAATTTCCTCACATCCTTAAAGAAAGCACACATTTCTGAAACCACTCAGACACTATTTGTGTGTTTTGACGAGCAGCTTCCCAAATGGCAAAGAGAAAGAAAAGTTGACCAGTGAAAGCTGTTGAGTAGAGAGGACAGGAGTTCAGGCACCAGCAGCGGAGGGCAGAACTGAGCCCAGTGAGTCCTGATGAGCCCACAGGAAGCAGTGCAACTGTCCTGCAGGGCTCCTCACGCCATGCACCTTCACGGAGGCAGATCTAGCAACCGGATTCAGCTAGCAACCTTCTGGTGAGCAGCCAAGCGCTTAACCACGGCACCACCGCATCTCCTCCCCTGCTAGCAGGGGGCTCTGTTTTATCCTGGCTTTCTTCTCACCATCAGGATGGCAGACTGTGCCCCGATCCTTGCAGCCATGAAAGTAATCTACTGACTGGATTCTCTTCCACCTCCACCCCCTAAATCTCTGACATCCCCATGGTAATACCCCAAACCCCAAGCCAGAGCCATCCAGTCTATGTGGGCACAACAGCAACTGTACAGGGCCGACGAGGGTTTCCAAGGCTCAAGTCGTCTTGGAAGCAGACTGCTACGTCTTTCTCCCGTGGAGCAGATGGAGGGTTCAAACCCCTGACCTTTTGGTCAGCAGCCAAGGGCTTTCACCACCATGCTACCAGGGTTCCCTTTCCACATTCAAGGGTCCTCCCCACCCCAATTCCGGAGATGAAGTATAGAACGAATACAGTTTGGCTCTCATGTGGGTTAATGCTACTTGCAAGCTGGCCAAGAAACTGAATCACTATTTCTAACAACACTTCTATGAAGAAGTGTGCTTCAAGTGCCAAAATAGTCTACTCACCAACAAATAGTAGATGGTATAGTTGTTGAAGAAGAGAATTCCAAAGAGGATCTTTGGCACAAAGATGGCTTATAAGCAAAAGGACCCCACTCTCACAGACATGGAAACCCCACTGAGTTGGCGGCACCAGTCAGCCCCCCATCAATCACTGAATCACAACGGAGGCCCTTCCAAACTAGAATAAGGAACTGATACCACAGCCAATGAACGCTCTGCTGTACACATTGAAACTAAAAGACAGTTACTAGAGGAATGTCAAACTGAAAGCACAGGAAGTATCCAAAGTTGGAATGCAGGAAAGGACATCTTTGAAGAAAAAGAAGACGTTACAAAGTATTTTTTATGTAGCATTATTCATTATGGCCCAAGATGGAAATGACCAAAGTCCCCATCTAGAGATGAGTGGATACAGTATGGAGCAGAGGCATACATATGCTGTTGTTGTTGCTAAGGGCTGTCGAGTCAATTCTGACTCATAGCAACCCCGCACAGGGTAACCTAGAATGGCTTTTTCTACAGCCCCACACCAGGACTTCACTAGTACATGCAATGGAGTACAGGACTCTGGTGTGGGGCTGTAGGATACGCACTGGGCTGCAAACTACAAGCTCGGCAGTTTAAATCCATCAGCTGCTCAGATGTCCTATACAGGATCACCATGAGTCAGAACTGACTCGACAGCAGTTAATAACAGCAGCAATTTAACCATAAAGAGGAATAAAGTTCTGATACCATGGATAAACCCTGAAAATACTAAAAGTGAAATATGCCATACACAAAATCAAACAGTTTACGATTCTACTTTTATCAAGTATCTGCCCTAACAAATCTGTGGAGACAAAAGATTAGCGGTTACCTGGGGCTTTGGGAAGAGGGAAAAGGAGAGCAGGAGGAAGACAGCAAAACTGTCTCCTTCTATTTTCAAAGGCAACTAACACGTATAATCTTCTGTCTGGCACAATTTGGCAATGACTCTCAACTGAGCAGGACTCTCAACTGTACAGTCCCTGAGGGGCATGTACAGGAATCTCCCAGAAACTTCACGGAATTAGAAAAAGCGTTATCTAGTGGATCTCCTTTCTACTACAACTACGGGGGAAAGGTGGACAATTCTTGATGGCTAATGAAGATGCACAGACTCTGCTGGGGGGCAAAGGTTAATAAAGGTGTGGAGATGCGGCTTGAGAGCATGGATCTGCCCTTACGCAGATCTTTTACCCAAGTCAAATATGGTGGGTGGGGAGGGCACTCTTGCGACCTCAGTGAGATCTAGCCTGGAATGTCGCTCCCGGATTATTTCCAGCATAAATGTCAGGTCAGAATAATATAAAACATTACAGACAAAAATAAAATTCTAGCATTTAAAATAAACAGCAGGATAAAAGGGAAGAAAATGGACGGAAAGCAGAATCTTAGATGAAGTAGTTTACGCATACCTTGTTTGCTGAGCTTTATCGTGCTTCACAAATACTTTGTTGTTTTTCCCCTCAAATTGACACACAGAGTACGTCTAATCAGCGCCATTCTTCCTATAGCGCATGCGCACTTTGCGTTTCTGCGCCACACTTAACCTTTCCAGAGGCTACAGCACACTCAGAAAAGAGCCTACTGCAAACGTCATTTTTATAGAAGCACTGCACATAAATGGCTTTATTGCAAATTTCTGCTTTATAGTGGTGGTCTGGCAGTGAACCCGCAATAGCTCCCAGGTCTGTCTGTACTGAGTACAGACAATGTGCCCTCAGGATAGCTCACCTCTCGAGTAGCTAGTTGGTTGCTGAGCTCCTCAGCCTTCTCAATATTCCACTCTCCCACAGCCTGGTCGATACTCTTTTCAAGACCTGACTAGAAATAAGAAACAAACAAACAAAAAATCACCTGAAAATGAAAGGCTGCAAAGAAAGGCAAACAAACATTTGAGCAAAGAGCAGGTCTAGGCACCAGGCCATGGAGCCCCACAATAACCCCAGGAGAGAGTTACTGGGGAGGGGAGGGTGGCTTGAAGCCATTCGGGAGCTGACCTGAGGTCAGAGTTCTTCCACAAATACAAAGGAGCGCTACATCCAGGTCTTTGTGCCACCAAAGTCTGTGATCCCCCTCCACAATAACAAGAAATGGGAATCAGAACATAAGATTAAGGTGCTCTCTACTTCCTCTTAGGACAGCTACATGCCATCACGTGGTACCTCCTGGTCAAGTCTCAGGCGGGTAGGCGGTAAGGGCATCTTACCTTGTGTTATGGATTCTACTGCGCCCCCAGCGCCACCCTCCAGGAAAATTGAAATCCTAAAGTTTCCAAAGGAATTCCATTGTCTTTTCATTCAAATTTTCCACGAACTTTTTGAATTCCCCTGGTATATGACTTTGTTTGGGGAAACAGTGTTGCTTGCAGATGTTATCTGTTAATTAACGAGGTCGTACCGGAGAGGGCTGGCCCTAATCCTAGTCCCTTCTGAGTCGTGTTTTATGAAATGGACGAACAGACGTGGAGACAGGGCCACACATGGGCAGACAGCATGCAAGGATGTCTCTGAGTCTAAGAAACGCCCATGGCCACTGCCAGGCGCTGAGAGAAACAAGGAGGAACCCCGCGAGCTGACACAGAACCTAGCTCTGCTGCTTCCTTGAACTCTGACCCCTAAATCATGGGAGAATCTGGCTCTTCTCTGTAAAGCCACCCACCCTGTGGGAGTTTTGTGACAGAGCCCAAGGAAGCCAAGAGAGTGTGAGGCTGGTTTGTCCGAGCCTGTTACTTTCAAGCACACTTTTCTTCTGCCTCTTTTCTCTACTGCTCAGCCCTATAGCTTGAGGCCCTCACTCAGTCTTTGACTATGAATACCAAACAAGGAGGAAGGTGCATATATGATTTTGACTATAAATACCAAACATGGAGGAGGGTGCATATATAATTTTGACTATGAATACCACACATGGAAGAGGGTACATATATGATTTTGACTATGAATACCACACATGGAAGAGGGT